GCGGCCGGGGCGCACCAGCGGGTTTTTAAGGGGGGGGGGGGCTGGGACGGGACCACGCCCGGCTGTCACTAAAGTTGCTTCTATTTTTCTACCACGGACCGGCCCCGGGCCCGAGGGCACACGGCAGCGCGCGCCCCCCGGGCAAGACTTGAATCTCTCCAGGCAGAGGGCACCGTCCTGGCAGCGTTCACCCCCCCCCGGCGCACCCCGGATGCCTTTCTCCCACGTGCGGATCGGACGGCCACTGCAGGGACTCCCTTGAACTTGAAGAAAGGCGCCTCCGAAAGCAAGCCGCGGTGTGACTGCCGTGTCAATTCTGATGCTAATAATGTGCAGATTATGACGAAAATTGCCAATCATGTTCTCTGATGGACCTCCTTTGAATGTGGAATTGGAAAAAAGTTCCCCGCGCAGAGACCTGCTGTCAAGTACTAACAACCCGCTAAGGGAAGTCATTAGAAGAGACAGATAAGAGACTCGGTACATAAAACATGGTTCGGGGTGCGCAGGATGTGTGTTATTTAATGTTCTCCCTGTTACCTGAAGTGATTCCGCACAAGAAAGCCACGTTCTTATCATCTCAATTGCCAATTTTCATTTTGGTAACTTGGACGCCCCGGGTAGACTTTTCTGTGTTAAGTTGATATTCCACCATGTGAAGAGCCTCATTAAATCAAACCCAGATATTTCCATAATGCTCCCTACAGAGCCACTTCACTCTTCACATAATGAGATTTTTCTGAAGAGTTGGAGCCCTCATCTAACTTGCTAGTGCTTGTTTAGGCCCTGCGTGTGTGTGTCTGTGTGTCTGTGCGTGTGAACGTATACACACACACACACACACACACACACGCACATATATATACACACACACACACGCACACATTCTCCCACAAATTTCTCGATGATATATATTTCAAATAAGTGTCCTGAAATACTTCTATTTTTAAGACACTGGATTTTTTTTTTCATATTCTAATAATGGACTTGCAGGAAAGGATTTCAAAGGCGATGCTGTTTTGTTCAGTGATCATAAATTGTAGATTTTTGTCAAGTGGGAAAGATTTCCTGGGGGAGGGTGGGGGCGGGGAGGGCAGGGGAGGAAATATCCCAAGACTCCTGGGGTGGATTCTTGACAAGACGTGCTCATTTAATGGTAGAGAACTTTAAGCTAACATAGGAAATACCTAAACAAGACATTTTTCATTTTGTAAAGAAAATAAATAGCAAGACTACTTATGTAAAGAAAAAGAAATGTTGATTATACCAGCGGTTCTTCACTGAGTTTACATTTAAATTTTTTATTAATATATAATTTAAGGCTAAATAAAATAGACCAAAACATGGCACTCTTTTACCAGCTTTATCTTTTCGATTGTTGGTATCATTTGTTTGGATCACACGTCTTGGATGTATATACGACAGTTTTGGCAATAATGTTTACATTTTTCCAAAATATAGATATATATATATGTCTATCAAATGGTCGATAAGGACGCTGGTTGGTAAAATTAACATAAATTC